TTACTATAGCTCGCTGCATGTAGAAAGCATTTTGCTTAACGGCGGCGATTGCGGCGGCAAGCCACTTCTCATCGTCGTCGCCGGTGATCATTCTGGTTCACTACAGAAAGAGAAGTCTCAATTAATTTTGACCGGATATCTTAAGCGTATTGACTCTTTGCATCTAATTTTGTTTCATCATCCACTTTACCAAATTTTCCAATACTTGAATTAAATTACATGGTGACAACAATAACTCTTGTTATAGAATTTTTTTTTTACCAAAAATCATTTATTTTGCAAGTTTGGTAATCTCAATTTCTCATGTAGATCACATCACTAATTTTGCCCACTCATATTGATTGTGTTGTAGAAAGCCTTTTCTCAAAACTGAGAATTGGTAAATCTGACCCTACAAAAATACCAAAATGAAACAAGATCAAATCTAATTAGAGAGACCATAGTTTCTCTTGTTTCTATTCTAAACAGAATTTTACTACTCTTTGTCTGCAAAAATAGACCGATTCATGCGCATTGTCGGGACAGCTTCCGTTTATGACTTCATAGCCTGGATCTGGCAAAGGAGCAACCATATTCTTTGACTTGGGATTCGCTTAATATGTTCAATAGATCACTGTAGCATTTTCCTCTAGACTAGTCTCAGTAATCAACTTTTCTGCATCTTTGCATCCTATTCTCAGGCCATGGACTATCTCATTCAAGTCCACGAGGCCACACGCGGGTATCCGTCCTATCTTCCTCTCTTTAACCACCTCTCTCACTCTATCAACATCATCCCACCGTCCCGCAACACCGTAAATGTTCATCAGCAAATGGTAATACTTGTAGTTCAGCGGATCTGTCTCTATCAGGGACTTGGCTATGCTCTCCCCTAGAGCCGGGTTTCCTGTGAAACGCAACGAGCTGAGCAAGTTTGCCCATTTTGCAGATTCTGGCGTCACATTTTCCTCTGGCAGATTCTTCAAAATTTCCTCTGCTTCTTCAGGGAACCCGGCACTCGAGTAAAGATTAGCCATGCACCATAGGTGTCCAAAGTTGGGTTTGATCTGGAACTCGTCAACCATCAGGGCATAGTAACTTTTACCTTGAGAAACAAGCCCAGCTCTAGCACAACCGCAGAGAACACCTACAAACGTTACTTCATCTGGAATTAGCTCACCATTGATCATGGCTTCAAATAATTTGAGTCCATCTTCAGGATTCCCATGAAGACAATGTGCCAATATCATCACATTCCACGTAACTTTATTCCTACGGGACAGACTGTCGAATATCCTACGTGCTAAGTCTATTTCCTTGCACTTTCCATACATGTCAACGAGAGCTGTATCGATGACAATGCTCGAACTCAGTAAGGTTCTTATCAAAGAAGTATGAACCGACCTACCTTCCTTCAGTCTAGCTGATCTACCACAAGCATTCAGCAACAAAACCAAGGTACTCTCGTTTCCTTGAAGCCCTGCTCCGACCATCTCACGAAACAAACTAATGGAAACTCCGGGATTGTTAGCACCCAAATAAGCGCTAATCATGATATTCCAAGAAATAATATTTTTCTCAGGCATTTTATCGAACAACTTGTGAGCATACAGAAGATCACCGTTTCTCACAGCCCCAGCGATTATTGAGTTCCATGACACAATATCTCTCTTGGGTATTTCAACAAACAGCTTCTTGGCAAGATCCAACGCACCGCAACAAGTATACATATGCATTAACGAATTTTGGACAGGCAAAACTTGATCGCATCCATGCTTAATGGCTTGCCCGTGACACATTTTTCCGGAATCAACGCAACTCGTCTTCTCGATACAACCAAACAAAGAGACGAAAGTGTAGGAATCAGGAACAAATCCAAATCTCAGTATATCGAAGTAAAACCCCAAAGCTTGTTTCGGATTAGAAGAGACCAAATACGCCTTAAAAACGGGATTTGCACAGTAAAGCTTGCCAATGCTGCGGAATATCGAGAATGTGTAGCTAGCGTCTCCAAAACGAGAAGAGCACTTCAACAATCTAATAGCCCAAGAGGAATCCCAGAAATTACCAGAGGTGATAAGCCTCGCGTGAACTTGTAAGAGGTTTCCAATACTACTGGATTCTTCGAGAAGCTTGAAACTCTTAAGCAGACCCAGAACAGGGACGATAGATCTTGATGTGACGAATTGGCGGATAGAAGAAGCTCTTGCCATTCATCTCCAGCTTGGATCCTTAGAGTTGAGTCAAAGGTGGATTCGGAAATCGCCATTAACCCACGATCATATCTCTATGTCAGAACTTGAAGAACGTCAATGGATCGCACAAGGAAGTAGGCGGCGAAGATGAATGCTTCAGTGTAAAACCTTAAGTGAAACCTTCTGAATGAGTGAGAGAGTTCCGGTTTTGGCCGAACCAAGTCAAACCAAAGCAATTTAAGAAGTAGATTAGAGTGGGACTTGCCTATCTGAATAAAATATTGAAATACGATTATATCTGCAAATGTTTTTGTTTCAACAGAAGATAAATCAGAATTTTAAAAATGGTTTGATTGGGATAAGTCATCTAACGATCTAATTTTAATTACAGACATTTACAAATTACAACATATATATTATCTGGATATTTCTAAATTAATATCTAAGATAATACTAAAATCATCTTCTTATCTGGATATATATATTGCTTCTGTTGAAATCCAGATAATACATAACTATATATCCGATTGGAGTCTTTTAAATTGATTTTTTTAGAATGTGATCTGCATG